AAGCATACATAGAATCCTAGAATCATAAAGGTTGGAAGCAACCTTGGGACATCATCTAGTCTAAGCCCTCTGCGACTGCAGAGGATCAACTAGAGCATTTTACACTAGATATGCATCCAAGTGGCTTTTGAATGTCTCCAGAGAAGGAGATTCCACAACTTTTCTTGGCAAGCTGTTCCAGTGCTCTGTCACCCTCAATGTGAAGAAATTTTCCTGAAGATCCTGTGGAACTTGTGCTGCTTCTGTTTGTGGTGCAGATAAGGAGATGCTGCAAGAGCGAAGTTTCTTCAGAGTAAGCCAAAGAATGCCAAGGGGGATCTTCATGCTGTGCCCAGCTCCCTTGTGGAGGGAACAGAGCAGCTGGATTTTCTTGGAGAGTCACAAATCTTTTTCTCGATGAGCATGACCAAACTCTGGCACGGGAATCCAAAGATATTCTCTGAGCTCCATCCTCTGAGAAACCCAGTGCTCACTGGAAAGGCCCCAGATACCTCCTCTACTGGGACCTGCCTTCAGCAGGGCATTGGATCTCCTATAGCAGCCTCAGGGTTTGTGCTCTTCTGAGACACACCGTACAGGCTCTTTGTTTTTAAAAGTCCTCAGCAAGGTTTCTTGGTCTTTGGTAGGATAGAGATGATATGCTAGGAAAGAGCAAATATGCCCTTAACACGTCTTCCTTCCTTCTTGAGGGCTTGAGAATGGGATACTGGATCCAAAACCATGGGTCAAGCCAGGTAGCCAATCTGGGGAAGCTTTCAGATCCCGTGAATTTTGCAAGCTTTCCTTCATCTGTCCATGAGAAAATCCACTTCTCATCTTGGACCTTAGTTGGTCTTTGGGCTTTTGATGACACCTCCCAGTAGTGTTTCTGCCCTGAGTCTTGTTCCTGGCATGTGCCTGTCTGTGGGATCTGTAGTTCCTTGGCACCCTGGATCTCCCACACTTCTGACCCAGGGTGTCTCAGGAGAGGCCCACGCACTGCAGCCCTGATGTCCAGGCTCCCGTATGGAGCCTGTAAGACAATGACTTGCCTCAGGAGCTGCATTTTGAGTTGTTCAGAAGTTGGTGAGAGCACAATCTTCCGGCTCCTCTACTGCTGAAATTTCCACCAGCCAACATTCCTCTTTCCGCAGTGTTTGCACAGTCATGGGCAAGTCTTGCAGAAGGGAGGCCCTATTCCCCTGGAAGCTGGACAGAGATGTGGCTTTGGAAAGCCAAATTTTCCCATTGCAAAGGAAAGCACGTCCTTGCTCCTTTCTTTGGGTTGTTTATTCAGCCTCTAGCAATGTGTGTGTTGCTCAGAGATGCACTCTGGGGTCTCTCCCCTTTCTCTCCCCTGACTCCTCCATGYCTCCTCAGTCTGCTCTGTGCACTGGGGTCATGAGAAGGATTGCTGTAGGGAGCTCCCTTGAAGCCATGACAAGTTGTGGAGCTGAAGGCCTGATGGAGGAAGTCTGGGACGTGGCTGTCCCATCTTGCTCCCAGCCCAAGGGTTCAGGAAGGTCCAGTGCATTTGGTGTTGTTGCATTGGCTTTCCTTTGACATCCCCAAGTCCTGCTTGAGTCATGCTGAGCATCCCGAAAAATCCCTCCTCTCTAGGGTCTTGCATCACAGTTTTTTCCTTTCTTTTGTTGAGAGGCACAGGTAGGTCTGGTATCTCCAGAAGCAGCATCGCCCACATCATGCCCTGCAGCCTGCAGGAGCTGTATGGCTCTCCCATTCCCACAAGTCCTGCTTAAACTGACAATTTCTAATACCATCCCTACAGTACAGGAGTTGGCCATTGTGAAACTGCAATATTGGGAAGCCACCTGTCAGTATTTTTTTAACTCAAACACCCATAGTGTATTTCAGAGATTTTAAAGGCTTGCCTACACTCAAAGAGCACAATTAGTATTTATGGAATTATTTCATGCTTTATTTCTGGTTCTTGGCAATTTGGAAGAATCCTGTGTTGATTTCCACCTAGTTCTCTGAAGAAAGCAGGTGGGAGTTGGGACAGATGAGCTGTAACCTTCAGTTGTTGACATCAGTAGAACAGAGAAGCTTCTATACAAGAGTGATGGAAGTCCCAGGTGGCTGAGAGGAATGCAGAGGTGGGTGGCGGGGGGAGAGGGTCCCTACAGTCCTTGACTTCTAGGACTCTGGTTTTCCTACATGTCCAGACTTCATTAGGAGACATTCTGGATTGATTCCAGTTGGAGAATGCTGCTGTCACTTACTCTGAAAGCTGAATAACAATAATATGAAACACTTTAAAAGCAGAAATACTTGTATATTACTGATGTTTCCAAGGTTCAGCTAAAATCCCCAAACCTCTACAATTAGCCATGCAAGACTTGGTAAAAATTACAGGAAGATACATGGTTTGTGAGGGCTTTTCATATTTTAATGATCCCCATGGTGTATTTGGTACTGAGCCCATGAACCTCAGTAACTGAGAGGAGACTGAAATAAACACTGAAGAATTCAAAGTGAAAATCAACCCCCAACTTTTGGTTGAGTTTTAATGGGTCCCACTGCTAGCTGTTAACAGCAAAGACTCCCCAGGGGCTGATTAGAGCAGAAAATTGTCCTCACTGATAACAGGTAGACAGGGGAAATGTGCAGGTGGCTCTGATGCCACATTACCCTTGATGTGTTTTATCAGGCAAAATATCCAGACTGGGTCACTGAGCTTCTGGGAAGGGGCTTCTTTCCTCCACACTTTTCAGGTCCTTCTGTGGACAGTGTGTGGGTGGGAGTGTGCAGTGCTCAGGGCAGGACAATGATATGACACCTTTCAGGGTGTCTGTGTTGGTGGCAGAGACAACAGCCATACCAAGAGGATGAAGACCTGGTGGTGCCTGTGAGCCCAGGCAGTGCCTTTGTCTGTGTCCAGCTGAGCCTGTCCTATGCTGGTTCCTACCTGCAGCTGTGTCCATGCATCCTGTAGACACCCAAACAGCTTCCCCTCTCACAGCCCTGGAGCCCCAGAAAGCCCTGGAGGCTGCTCAGGGGACAAAAACTGTCCCGTCTCCAGCTGGGGCCCTGCTCCTGAGCTGGGCCTGGCTCCTGGGACTGCGGGAGCCCTTGGCAACGTGGCAGGTGCTGCAGAGAGACAGCTCTGCCCAGGAGCAGCTCCTCTTAAAGGAGCACCAAGACTCAGGGCACTGCCCGCAGGCACCAGGCTGGGATGAGTCGCTCCTMAGTGAAGGACAGTTGGGAATGGGAGGACAAATGAGAGCTCCTTGCAGGGAGAAACCTCCCAGCCCATGATACGGTAAGTGTCGGTCTGCAGGACAACAGTGCTGTGGTTCCTGGAGGGCTCTTTTGAACTTGGCCCCTTCCCCAGCTGATGGGATCTCTCAGGGTGTCTCTCCCAGCTTCTTCTGCTTGGAGCTGGGGGTGCTTTAGAGCAGGGATTGCCATCCAGACCATCAGAGGGACAGGGCATCATGGCTGCCTTCTGCCCAGGACGGTGCAGGGGTGTGAAGCCAGCAAGTGCCCCCAGTTCTGCATGGGCTGTAATGCCCAGCAGTGTCCCTGCGCCCCAGGGTGCTGTGTGCCCAGGGCAGTGACTTCCACCTGCGAGGGTCAGCACCCACCCTGCCTAGGAAATCACCATGTGGTGTGGGGAGAAGCTCTGGGTGTGAGGAGAGACCACCATCATGGCAGGTTCATATTGTGAAGTGGCCTTTTGAAGAGGACAGTGCAGGCAGTTAGTGTTAAAGATGAGGAGGTTCCCTGTGTCCTTGTGGTTGTGAAGAGCTGGAGGTGTATGGAAAGGAATGCCAGGTGAGAGCAGGAACCTGACCCTCTAGTCCTTTCCATGGAGAGGTGTGTGAGGAAGCTCAGCAAGGCCCTGTGCCCTCCCCTGACTGCAGACAGCACCAGCATCCCCTTGTCTGGCCTCAGCAGGGTCTGTGTGACCCTGGTCCCTCCCACCCGCATACATGGAGATGTCCCTGGCCAGTGCCCTGCTGCTGGATCCTGCTGTAGGGCAGAGCGAGTGCCCGGGGGTGGGATGGGGTGTGTGGCAGTGACAGGGAGAAGATGTGGGGGAGAGGAGCAAGTGCCAGAAGGAAAAGCTCCTTCTGTGGAGACAGGATCAGTAAGTGGGAGGGATCTAGAAGTGGGAGGGAGGATTTGGATCAGCCTTGGTCAGTCCCTGCAAAGCAGAAATCTTCCTCTCAGCAAAGTCCCGTGTCTCCTCTCCCAGCCCTCAAGGCCATAGGGTCATGAGCCCAGTCCTTGGTGGAAGAGGGGCTGTGTCTCTCCTGCAGCCTGGTCCTTTCCCACTGCAAGAGAAGGGGCCTGAAATGTTCTGTCCTGAAGTCTTGCTGTCTCGGTGGTGGTGTGCACAGCCTGGGGAGGTGAAGGTTTTCCTCAGTGCTCCTCTGTGTGTTACCCTTTACTTTCTCTTGGTAGAAAGTTCATACAAAAGCTCTTCATTTCTTCACCTCTCCCTGCTGGTCTGGTTCTTGCTCCCTGAGCTAAGGATGGGGACTCAGCTACAGTTAAGGCAGGAACTTCCCTCTCCCACTACTTTGTGTCAAGCAACAGTGAAGAGAAAGAAAAGTGTCAGATGGCAGTGAGGGGGAAATGAATCCCTCCCAAGGATCTTCTCTTTTAAACTGAGCTGTCATGAGAGCTGCCCCTTGTGCAACAGTAAGTAGAGGATATTCCTACTCTGTCACTGGAGCAAATCCTCTACACTCAGTTCAAGGTGCCCATCTCCAGGTCTCCTCATCAAATACATGATGCAATTTGACACCTTGATTTAAACCACCCACAAGAGCAGGACTGACTGTTGTGGAGCCCAAGCACAGATGCAGAGCACAATCAGCCACCAAAAACCAAAGGTCAGACAAGGGAGCTGAACAAGGTAAAGAAGAGAGGCCATTTCGGGAGTACTATGAATGAGAATAGAATGAGGTTTAATGAGTTTTGCTCAGAGAAGCCCTTTCTAACTTATTGTTGCATTTTCCTCATTGGACAGTGGGGTGAATCAAGAGTAAATGTCCAACAGCAGCTCCCTCAACGAGTTCCTCCTCCTGCCATTCACGGACACGTGCGAGCTGCAGCTCTTGCACTTCTCCCTCTTCCTGGCCATCTACATGGCTGCTCTCCTGGCCAACAGCCTCATCATCACAGCGGTAGCTTGCGACCACTGCCTGCACACCCCCATGTACTTCTTCCTCCTCAACCTCTCCTTCCTCGACCTTGGCTCCATCTCCACCACTGTCCCCAAATCCATGGCCAATTCCCTCTGGAATACCAGGGCAATTTCCTACTGGGGATGTGTTGCACAGGTCTCCCTGTTTGTCTTTTTCATTTCAGCAGAATATTATCTCCTCACTGTCATGGCCTATGACCGCTATGTTGCCATCTGCAGACCCCTGCACTATTGGACCATCATGGACAGCAGAGCTTGTTTCCAAATGGCAGCAGCCGCCTGGGCCAGTGGGTTTCTCAATGCCCTCCTGCACACTGGGAACACATTTTCCATACCACTCTGCCAAGGCAATGTGGTTCAGCAGTTCTTCTGTGAGATCCCCCAGATCCTCAAGCTCTCCTGCTCACACTCCGACTGCAGGGAAGTTTATGTTCTTATCGTCAGTGTCTCTTTATGCTTTGGGTGTTTTGTTTTCATTGTGGTGTCCTATGTGCAGATCTTCAGAGCTGTGCTGAGGATCCCCTCTGAGCAGGGCCGCCACAAAGCCTTTTCCATGTGCCTCCCACATCTAGCTGTGGTCTCTCTGTTTGTTAACACTGTAATGTTTGCCTACCTGAAGCCTCCCTCATTCACTTCCTCATCTTGTGATCTTATGCTGTCCGTTCTTTACTCAATAGTGCCCTCAACCCTGAACCCTCTGATCTACAGCATGCGGAACAGGGAGCTGCAGGATGCACTGAGGAAAATGGTTCATTTTGTACTAGTTCATCAGAAATAAGCTCAATATCTGTCTTCACAAGTGGTTTCCAGTTCATCTCATACATCTCTGTTGCTGGGAATTCTCTCTTATGACGATAACAAATTTACTGTAGGTGCTTAAATTCATCCAACTCATCCAGTTGGATCAACCCAGACTGTCTGATTGTGATACCTGCTGTGAACGTGTCTGTCACTGTGTCAGTCCTGACTTCACTCTAATAAAAGGGCATTTCCTCAGTGCAGTGCTTGAATGTTGGCTCTCCTTCCACAGCTGGAGTCAAGAATGTGCCCAAGGACTTTCAACCTCAAAGCCTCAGTTGCTTTTCCATGCCTCTCTATGGGTTTCATGCAGTGAGCTCATAGGTGACATATTAGAGGATGAGGGCTGGGTTCAGTTCTTACTTGGGAGCGCTCCTGCGGGTCGTGAATAGTCAAGCAGTATCTCCCATATGACATGTCTGGTGACAGATATGGAGCCCCCAGGAGACCACAAGGCACCTCCACAAGAACTCTCCCAGCTCTGCCCCACCAGGACCACAGAATCATTGAATCTTTATGGTTGGAAAAGACCTTTGAGATCATCAAGTCTAACTCTAAGCCCCTCAACACCATACCTGTTTCACCACGTCCGAAAGTGTCTCATCTACATGTTTCTTGAACACTCCCTAATAGTACTTATTCTGGAGAAAAGATCAACCCCCACCTCACTACAACCTCCTTTCAGGTAGTTATACAGAGTAATAGGATCTCCCCTGAGCCTCCTCTTCTCCACACTAACTAACCCCAGCTCCCTCACCTGCTTCTCATAAAGTCTTAGCTCCAGACCCTTCACCACGTTTGTTCTTCTGACGGTCTCCAGGGCCTCCATGTCTCTCTTGTAGTGAGGAACCAAAAACTGAGCACAGTATTTGAGGTGCTGGCTACACTGTTCCTGATAAAAGCCAGGATGATGTTGGCCTCCTTGGCCACCTGGACACCCTGCTGGGTCATTGTCACATGACTATCAACCAACACCCCCAGATATTTTCTGCCACATAGCTCTGCAGTCACTCTGCCCCAAGCCTGTCGAGTTGCATGAGGTGTGTTGCATGTGACTCAAGTGCAGGACCTGGCACACTAATTTGCTGAAGTTGCACTCAATCCTCTCATGCAGCTCATCGAGAAAGATATTAAGGAGGTCTACTCCCAACACAGGATCCTTAGGGAATACTGCTCATGAGTGGTCGCCAGCTGGATATAGGTCCTTTCACCACCATTCTCTGGGCATGGTTATCCAGTCAGTTTTTTACCCAGCAAAGAGTACACCTGTCTAAGCCATGAGCTGCCAGCTTCTCCAGGAAAAGACAGTGTAGGACTGTACAGATAGGCCTTACTAAAGTCTAAGTAGACCATACCCGCAGCCTTTCCCTCATCCACTAGGCAGGTCACTTGATCAGAGAAGTAGATCAGGTTGGTCATGCAGGACCTACCTTTCATGAACAAACTGGCTCGTCCTGATCCATTGCTTGTTCTGCGCATGCTGTTGGAATGGCCTCAAGATGACCTGCTCTGTAACCTTCCCTGATACTGAGGTCACAGTGACAGACTTGTAATTCCCCAGGTGCTCCTCCTGAGGAATGGAGATGGGAGATGGGACTGGACACTGGCAAGTGTCCAGTCATCTGGGACCTTCCCTATTGACCAGGACTGCTGATAGATGATGGAGAGTGGCCTCATGAGCACGTCTACCAGCTACCTCAGAACCCTCACGTGCATCCCTTGTGGACCCATAGATGGACCTGTGAGGGCCCAAGTGGAGTAGCAGGCCACTGACTGTTTCTTCTTGAATTATGGGGCATTTTTTCTGCTCTGCACAGGTGTCTTCAAGCTCAAGAGGGCACATTACCTGAGGAAGAACGGATCTGGCTGTTAAAGACTGAGGCAAAGAGGGCATTAAACACCTCAGCTTTGTCCTCATCTTTGATGGCAATGATCCCCGCCACATCCAGCAAAGGATTCTCCCTGGACAATCTCCAAGGAGATTCTCCTTAATGTATATGTAGAAACTTGTAAAAAATAAAAAACCAGTGTCCAGATTGAGTTCCATCTGAGCTTTCAGCTTTTTTATTTCCTTCCTACATACTCTAAGGATATCCTTGTATTCATTCCAAGTTTCCTTCCCCTTCTTCCAAAGTTGGTAAGCCTTATTTTTTTCCCAGAGTCTCAGCAATATTTCCCTATTCAGGCAGGCTGGTATTCATTCCTTCTGGCTCATCTTTCAGCACATGGGGACAGCCTGACAGTCTTCTCCTGCACCTTTAGGATTTCCTTCTGGAGAAAAAGTCCAGCTTTCCTGGACCTCTTTGCTCCTCCGGACTGTCTCCCAAGGGACTCTCACAACCAATGTCCTAAACAGTCCAAAGTCTGCCCTCTGGAAATCTAACATGGTGGTTTTACTGACCACCCTCCTATCATATTGGTAGTCCTACAACTCTCTCTAGTAGTTCCATGACCTTCTTGTAAAAGGGAGACCAGTACTGGCACTCCAGGTGTGGCCTCAGCAGGGCTGAGCAGAGCGGGAGGATCACCTCTGTGGATCTGGTGGCAACACTCTCCCTAACACACTCCTGGAGACCATGGGCCTTCCTGGCCGCGCGGGCACATTGCTGGCTCATAGTCAGCTTGTTGTCAGCTCTGCAGAGCTACTTTCCAGCAGGTCAACCCCTAGTCTGCATGCTGCCTTGGGTCATTCCTCTCTAGCTGCAGGATCCTGCACTTGTCTTTGCTGAACTTCCTCTCCACCCAACTCTCCAGCCAGTCCAGGACTCTTTAAGTGGCTGCACAGCCCTCTGGGGTCTCGGTAACGACTTGCAGCTTTGTATCATCAGGAACCTTGCCAAGGGTGCACTCTGTCCCTTCCTCCAGGTCACTGATGAATAAACTGAACATGACTGGACTCAATCCTAACCCCTGCTAGCTGTAGGTCTCCAGCCAGACACTGGACCACGGACCACAACCCTGAACCCCAACCACAACTGCTCACATGGAGGTGACCTCCCAGGTGCAACCCCCTCCACAGCCCTCATGCTGCACCATGGCCTTCAGAGACAGCAGCTGACTCCAAATCTCTTCCCCACACAGGAACCACTGCTGTCCTATCTGGAGCCTCCTGGAGCTACAGCTGGACATGAGCTGCACAATCTCTTTGTCCGTCTGCAGTGACACTCGATGCCGACCGTCCATAGAGCTCCTCTCACTGAGGCTCAGACCTGAGCAAACAGCACATGGAATTAATTCAGAGCAGATACTTGATTTAATGCAATGACAGCAGGCCTGCAGGTCCATTTCCGATGCATGGGGTGTCCAGCACAGACACCGTATTTCCAGTTAATATATTCCAGGGACAACAAGAAAATCAAAGAGCATCTCAAATGGGAGCATAGGAGGGTATGACATCCTGAGAGGTGTCCTGAGTTTGTCCTGCACTCGGCACTGCCCATCCTTCCCCAAACACCAGTGCCAAGAAGTGTCCTGGCCAGTGCATGGAAGAAAGGATCTTGCTTTCCAGGGTTTCCCTGTCCATGCTTGGCCATTTATCTTGATAAAACACATCAAGGGTGCAGGCAGCATCACAGTCGCCTATTTTCTCTGCCTATTATCAGTCATTACATTTTTTAGCTTTAATCAGCCTCTGATGAGTTATTGTTGTTAATGGCCCTCAGTGGGACCCATTAATGTTCTACAAAACTTTAGGGCTTGCTTCTGATTTGGAATTCTGCAATATTTTTTTCAATCTCCTTTCAGTAATTCATGGATTGCAATTCATGGACTCAGCTCCATGGACACTAGGGGGCTCATTAAAGAGCAAATACCCCTGATAAACATTGTTTCTCTCTGCAATTTTCTTCAAGACTTTTATGGCTAATAGAAGGCAACACAGAGTGTAGCTGAGAGGTGGAGATGCCAATAACAAACAAGTATTTCTGCTTTTAAAGGCGATCTTTGTTATCATTATTATTCAGGTTTCAGAGTAAGTGACAGCAACATTCCCCAACTGGTATCAATCCAGAGTGACTCCTAATGAAGTCAGGACATGCAGGAGAAGCAGCACCCCAGAGATCAGGGGTTTATACACAATCCTCCTCCCCATCTCCCCAGCCCAGACATTTCTCTCATCAGCTTCATGGGACTTTCCATCACTCCTATTAACAGCCTGGTTAAGGCTGCAAGTGAAGCTTACAGCTCACCTGCCCCAATTCCCACCGGCTGTATGGAGACAACTTGCTGCAAATACGGACAGCATTTCCTTTAGTTACAAAGAAACAGAAAATAAAGCCTGGCAGAGTTTTATAGGAAATAATGACATTCTGTGACTGTACACTAAGTCCAATAGCCTCCAATGAGGTTCTGCTGTTCCAAATGATAATCTAACTAGAAATGTCTATGAGGGACAGGAAAAGCTGGATATTAAGAGAATTAGAGACTTGTCAGAGGGACAGATGACACAGAGGCACCTCAAGCTTTAACTCCCTGCAGGACCAACCAGCATCTGGGGCTGTGGGTGAACAGAGTGTTGGGAGGAATCACCATGTTACAGTGACCAGACAGGGCCCTGCAGGGGATGTTAGAAACTGTCCATTTAAACAGGGCACGAGGCAACGGGAGAGCAACTCAGCTTGGACGGGTCCCGGCCCTGCCAGGGGCTCTGCTGCTCTCGTGGATATTGGACTGGGCTGCGCTGCTGGACAAACGTCAGGACAGGCCTTGATGCAGGAGCCTGGAGAAGAGGGATTGTCCTGGGCACTTCCAGCACCCCAGGCAGCACTCGGGGGTGGCGAGGGAAGCCCATCCCACCCAGTTCAACCCACTGCCCTTCCCACAGGGCTCCCTGGATCCTCCTGCTGTGGACAGAAGGGGACATGGGGACAAAGCCACGTCCCACACTTGTCTCCATGAGGCCTTCGGCTCCACAACTCGTCACAACTTCCCACGAGCTCCCAAACCCAGCGCTGCCCAGGGCATGAGGGTGCAGCGTTGCCATGTCAGCTGACAGCCACTGGGATGCTCTGCACATGAGGAGGTGCCTCCTGCCACAGGCCCTGATAGGCCATCTGCAGCCAGAGGGCGTGGCTGCTGCTTGTGAGGTCCCTCCTGAGGGCAGAGCTGCTTGGGCAGCAGCA